CACTTTCCTTAAAGAGTATTTCGACCCTATTCCAAGCCTTTGGGTTACACGAAATCCCTTTGTAGGATAAGACAATCAAAGTCACATTCTTGTTCTAGGCTAAGATACAAGAATAACAAATAGAGTTTTAATGCTTATATGTGTTTCTTCAAAGATCTTTGATGATCTTTAAACAATAAATCTATTTCTCTCTTACTTTTTTACTAACTATTAGTTTCTGATATTTTCTTTATCATTTGTCAATAATGCCTACATCGCTTTATATAGAGAATGAAAGGTTGCAACCAATGGTTACAATGGTTAATCCAAAAGATGCAATGGTTAGTACTAATAGTTGCAATGGTTAATGAAGAGTTGCAATTGTTAATACCAACAATTGCAATGGTTAGTAAAGAGTTACAATGGTTAATCATCAAGGGTTGCAATCACTAATATGGTTAATCATCAAAGGTTGCAAATATTAATATGGTTATCACCAAAGGTTGCAATCATCAATAGTTGCAAGCTTTTATTCATGTAGTTGCAATTATTCACATAAACAATTGCAATGGTTCATTGCACCCTTTCACTTAAACCCTTTCACTTAAATATATAACAAAAAGTCTCTCTGCGAGGTTCATCATGAGCGATAATCAATGTTTTAAGATTCTTCCATTGACTGAACGCAAACGCAAATGAACCCTTGGATAGGTAGCACCAGCGCGGTAAAGCAAGTTTCTCTATGTTTGGCATGCTATCATGAAGCAAAAGAAAATGAGACACACACTACAAATCTGTTATTATGATTCGGTTTTAAAGATTAGATTTACCTTGCAGCAGCGAGCATGAGACATTCGTCATCTAAAGAGGAACAGCAGCCAAAGAACAAATTCTCCGGGACACTCCGGCTAAACTTGGTGATATTCCTGAGACTTCTGCTTGTTTCATTAATGAAAGACTGCTTGAAGTTTTCTGTAAAAACAATCCTAGATAGCAGTGTTTTAAGTCTTTTATCTACTTCTTGGAACTTCTCAAGGTCGATAGTCTTCCATAGACTTTTATTGTGGGAGGCAAGGAACCAGGAGATGCAGACGCGTGACGCTCCCATGGTAAGGTCCTCTACGTTTAGCTTGCGGAAGATAACGGAAAGTATGTCCCTGTCCAGAGTTTCCCATTTTGAAACTTGTTTTGAGCTGTCTGCCTTGTCCATCACGTTTCAACTACATACATACAAATGGGATCACGGTTAAGACATTCTAAATAGATAGAATCTTGAATTCACATAAGATCTTGAACAAAAGAAAAAAGGACGAAAAACGTCAGAACAATAATAGTTTTGAATTCGAATGAAAAATATATGATACTGGATCTATTTAACCATTTTCTCTAATAATCTTGACAACAAAAACACAATTGACAACAGATTGATATCTCTCTGCAGTCTGTTGAACACCTTTATTATGCCTTATCTTTTTATCCCAAGACAAGTGAAAAACAAAGAGTAGATATCTCCATGGAAAGTACCTTCTCGGTTATGTGTATGAGTTATGGATTCTTATGGACAAGATTAGTTTTATAGATATTTATTGGGTATTCCAATTTATCAAAAAGGTTTAATATATTTCACTCCATTTTTCTTTTCTTCTTCTAATCTATAAGAAAATTCTATGTAAGTTGGATTTCGCATATCCTTTGGAATTCATTTCTTTATTTGTCAAATATTTAGAATATTATATACCTTACTAGGATTTTTCTTCTTGGCAAGTACAGCAGTAACAGATTTTAATTCTTCTTGGTTTTTCAACTTTTTTGGTTAAAAGTTGAAATACACAGAAAATGATGTACGAAAAGATATATTTCGTCTGGTTCTTGTTCATTTGTGACAGGTGGAAATTTGTATGGAAAATACTAATTTTTTTCTTTTTTGTTTTATGAGAACCATTACAACATATTTTGTTAGCCACGTGTCATCATGAAAATGCTTCTCAAATTTACTAGAGAAAATTCTGGTTCATATAAACATATAATATACTTTTTATTAAACTAAGCCTAAAACTATTATTAATTTTTTCATTATTTCCTTAAATAAAATTTACAAAACTATCTAATATGGTTATAGTATATATATGACAATTAATGATTTGAATAAGAAAGATTTGAAAAAAAAAATATAGTCTATACTCTTTTTGTTAAATTTATATTATGAAATAAATTAAAAATAACATTATATAACAAAAATAATTAGATTTTTTAATATATGTTATATTTTACAAATTTTAAAACGATTATAAATTAATAAAACATTTAAAAGTTTCACATATAAAATTTTTGATTAATAGTTTATTTTTTTGTTATAGCACGATACAAAAAATTATATAATTAATGAGTAAGAGATATCATTTAATAAATATTCAAAGGAAAATTAGATGTATATATATTTTAATGATGTTTAAATTAAAATATATACCATTTAAAACACACATAAATATTTTAATTCCAAAATTACATTAAACAAGTATTGAGAACTTAATACATTAATGACAAACTTTGAATTTAATTTTTTAAAACGACGATGAATTATTGTAAATATTAAATCTCTTACATTAAAAATCATGTTAGCAATGGTTTAAATTTTTTGTTATAAAAATATATAAATGAGCATAAAATCATGTAAATATGAAGCTTCATTTATTAGATAGTCAAACTAAAAGTAATATATATATATAATGTTAATATCATTTATTAGTTAGATTTACTTATATAAAGTGATTGTAAATAAACTAATATGATTATTTTATTTAAGTGTTCGCGCTAAATTAATTGTATATATAATAGTTACAAATTTCTTACAAATTTCTCAATTATCCAAAAAAAAAAAAAATATATATATATATATTTAATATTTATTATTTTATAATATATAAAGAACAGAAAATAAAGAATAACACGTAAAATAATCGTCTATATATTAATCCTGGAGCATTATAACTTTTTTTGGTAGACACGTGTCATAATGAGACTATTTTCAGAACTCTTAGAGAAATATGTTGCTCCAACTAAATATATATTATATTTTTTATTAAACTAAATATCATATTTAATTAGTAGTATACAAAAGAATATTCTCTATTATTTCCTTAAATAAAAGTTACGAAATTACTAATATGATTAACATATATATCACAATTAATGATTATAAATAATAAAGATTTGATAACAATTTTTTATCCACATTAATTTTTATTTAGTTTTATATTATTAAAAAAAATTAAACAATCGCATTAATAATATAATTAAAAACTTAGTTTTTTTTCTTATATGTTATATTTTGAATTTTTTAAAACGAACATAAATTACTAATAATGTTAAAAATCTCACATTGAAAATTTTGTGATTAATGGTAAGGTGTTTTAGTTCAGCCAATCATTTTTTTTAGTGAGTCTTACACAAATTTTAATGATTAACTAAATGGATCACATACATAATAGAGTGTGTTTTAGTTTAAAAATTATTCTATACCTAAAATCAATATGAACCATCATCCCTTTCGTTTAAAATTTTGTTACAATAAAAAATATAGGGTTGGAAAAAAAGACTGAATCCAAATAACCGAACCAAATCTAATCCAAAAATTAGTATAGATATTTAACCAAAATTGGTTAGATATCCAAATAGATTCAAAAATTTGGTATCTAGAGAACCGAGACTGTATCGAAATATTTCGGGATCCGAGTGTACTCGAACCAGATTTATATACTTAAATATATTAATTATTTAAAAATTTAACATCTAAGAATATACAAAATAAATGAGATTTTTTATAATTTTCCAAAATACTTAGAAATATATAAAATAGTTAAATGTACATTTTTAAAATAGCTAAATGATACTTCAAATACCAAAAATATTTGAAATATTTCTTGATTTTTTGTCCAAATATTTAAGATAAACCGATTTTATGTTAAGTTTAAGTATTTTGGCATTCATTTTTCAAATTTATATGTTATATATTATTTTATTTTTAGATCTTGAGAAACTTAAAGTATATTTGAACTTTAATCTTTTAAAAAAAAAATTAAATGGGTTATCTGAACCTAAACTGAAACCGAACCTGCAAAGATTCGAACTAAACCCACAAAGATCTAAACCAAACATAACTAACCGAAACAATTGGTACCGAATGCCCATACCTGATCAAATGTAAGAAATGTTTTGATAAAAAAATTGTTTAAATACAACATATTTTTAAAAAAGCTCACTGCGTGCATGGCGCGGGGTATAATCTAGTTCATAATAAATCTCATGGAATCAAGGATTCAAATAGAAAATAATAATATAGACAAACTTAAGAAGTAAAAAAAATACTGTTGTACAATAGTTTTGGTACAATTTAAAACAATAAATATAAATATATTAGTGAATATATAAGAATTTGCTAGAATACATGAACGAGTCAATTGCCACTTCACTTGGAGATATAGACTCTTTTGGACAATGTAATACGTGAGGAATCTAAGACAATTTACTGTTATCTTTTCAACGGATTATACATACTCAGTTGGTGAAGATTATTTTGTAACCAGAAGAATGATCAGTCTCTGCAAGTTATTTGAAAGATATAAAGATCTTGCGGAGAAGTTTCAACAGCTCAGATCTCATTTATATACCACGGACACGGAATTTAAAGGTAGACAGTCTCACACGCAGTCCAAAAAAATAATCATCGTTTGTTATCCATATGGAGGCGGAGCTACCAGTTTCGTTTACAGTATCTATATGAGTCTAATTAAGTTGCTGGAAAAAAAAAACTTGCTAGAAGGTTTGAAACTTTCATAACTTACAAATTTGGTACACAAATTTGATGGTGATTTATTTAAAAGATGGTTAATCTGAATTGGACACATATTCAATGTATATACAAATTCGATGGTGAATTATTTAAAAGACGTTTATTAATTGATCAAGAGACAAATTACAAGAGAAAAACTGAGTTTATGTGAAAAGAGATCAAGTCAGAAAGAACAAAGAGCAAATGAAAACCATAACTCTTGTGTCGAGAACCGTGTGTTTTTGAATGGTTTCTCAGTCTTCGGGTTTCTCTTTATATAATCGTCTTGTTTCTTTTTTTTTTTGTCTCCAAGTTGGCATAAGCTCTTGCTGACTTACTCAACCGGGCCGAGTTCTACTTAAGTGATGTAATCCATCTCTAGCGATAACTACCCCCCCCCCCCTAGTTATGTGAGAGGCAAAGCCGATCTCTTGTACTAATTTTTTTAAAGAGTAAAATAACTCGGAGCATGTCTTCTAAATTAAGCTGAGCTTTTATCTCGGTGTACACAAAGAAACCCAATCCGGTTTAGCCTTGAACCGCTTAAATCCTGGTACCGGTGGTTTAATCACTAACTATATCCCAGTTTTTCTAGAGAAGTGGAAGCTATTCCCTGAAATAGCAAGAATTGTGCTGTCACCTTAAGTTTTTAGACCTAATGATTAAGGATATCAGAAGGACCACCACTTCATATGGCCACTGTTAATCTGTGATCATCCTCCAATTTCGCAGCTGAGACAAACCATCACACGATAAATTTTATACAGGTGTTCTGTAGATGATTTTAGATTAGAAAACATGGACCGCGTGAAGGTGAAAGTATTTGGATTTTACAATTATAAAAAAAAACAAGGTTACAGGAAATACAAAATTATAAAAATCCAAGAAACTGTTGTGAATCAAGAAAAAAAAAGAAGAGAATCCATTGTTCTTATTCTTATTCCATAGATAACAATACATTGTAGAAGCACTGTATCCTAGTGGTTAAGGTTTAAAGGTTTCTACACCAGATCTGGGGTTCGAATCCCAGGCTACGTAATTTCTATACCAAAAGGGTTTCAATTCCCGGAGAAGGTGGATGCGAATTATGCAGACTATTGAAGAAAAAGCTTACAAGAAATCTTCAGCAAGGCGCAAGGAGCACCGTCACGAATGTATCTCGTAGGGCTGCTCAGGGTGAAGCAGTTATAAATGAATCTGCATAAGGCAGGTAGAATTGTCGGCTGTACTATCGTCTATGTAATATTCTCATAGTTTGTAATGCATAGTTAACCAGTGTTAAAAAAAAAAAGATAACAATACATATATATATAGGAGTACAAACTAAGGTTTAGAACCTTCTAAAACATGGGTTTATGGGCCTAATGGACATCCACATAATA